GGGGGGTGTGGGGGGGGCTTAGACAATTCCTGGCCTCCAAGGACACTCCTGCTGCCCCCACCACTGAGTGCTGGGGGCCACAGGTCTGTTCCCCTGCCTGCCCCCCCTGCCTCCAAGTTGCCTGCCCCCCCCATTCCAGGTGCAGCTGCAGCAAGCCCAGGGGCCATTCCAGCTCACCGAGAGCTTCTCCGAAGTGGTGCAGATCCCCCTGGATCGCCTGCGCCGGGCCTCCCCCTACGCCTCCCACCGAGCCAGCCTCAGCCCCGTGTCCCCGGTGGCCAGGAGCAGCCCCGAGGCAGGGCCCGGCCTTGAGGAGGGCGAAGAGCCCCGCTCGCCCCCGTCCCGCAGCACTTGCTCCGAGGTGCCCAGCGCAGCCGTGTGGGCGCAGGCGGACAGCGGGCACGGCTCCGAGTCCGACACCGGCCCCCACTCAGCTGCCCCCTCCGAGGCTGGTATGAGCTGGCAGGACGTGGGGCCAGAGGACCTGGAGAGTGCCAGCTGGGCCACGGCTGTGGCCTTGGCGTGGCTGGAGCATCGCTGCGCCAGCTTCTTCGAGGAGTGGGAGCTGGTGGCAGCCAAGGCGGACGCGTGGCTGCAGGCGCAGCGGCTGCCCGAGGGGGTGGACGTGGGCTGCCTCAAAGGGGCAGCCAGGCACTTGTTCCTGCTGCTGCGTCACTGGGACGAGAACATCAAGCTGAACATGCTGTGCTACAACCCCAACAACGTCTGACGGCTGCCGGAGGGGCCAATAAAGACACCTGGCTCCATGCTGCCTGCACCGGTGTTTCTGTTATGGGTAGGGAGCTGTCGGCCCCGTTCAGGCCATGCTGGGGCTCACCACAGCCCTGGAAGAGGGTTCACCTCCTTCCCAGCAACCTCCCGTGGTAGGGAGCAGATAGGGGACTAGGAAAAGCTGTGCTGGAGGGATCCCTGGGCTGCATTTAGGGCATTCAAGCCTTGAGGCAAAGCACTTTTGCAGATCCTTTGTCTTAACCTCACCCCGGAGGCTGCTCCCCTGCCTGGGGCAGTGCTCTCCTGCGGCTGGGGAGCCCCCACAGCCCAGGTGGCTGCTCTGCCTCCCCACGGGTGGGGCAGGCCCAGGCAGGGCTGTCCCACCCTCATGGTACAAGGACACTGCGGCCGGGCAAGGGCACACAAAGCCCTCTTTTATTGGGGAAGTCCTGCCTGTCGGGGGTCCCCACGCTTCCACCTTTGCACAGTTCCAGGGCTCACAGCCCTCCTGGGATGGCCAGGTGGGGAAAGAGCGGGCAGAAGGGGCAGTCCCAGAGGCCAGTTCCCATCCTCCGGCTGGCCATGCTCTCACTGGGCCTTCTTGGAGATGGCTGAGGGTCTCCTGCTCGGCTGGGGGGTGTGTGGTGCTGGCGGGGGGGCTGTGCCGTACCAGAGCTGGAGCAGGACGAGTCCGTGGCAGATGTGGAGGGAGAGGGAGCTGCAGACCGTGGAGGGGTAGGTGTTCCAGCAGAGCTCGATCACGCCCAGCAGCAGCACCCTGCAGGGGGGAAAGCTGGGTGTCAGCACTCGGGGGACACACAACAGCCCCCCTAGCTCCCAGACCCCCCAGCAGACAGGTGGTCCCCCTCCCCGGCAGCACATACTTGGGCATGTGGGCGAGCTTGGTGGTCGGGGTGCACCAGAGTAAGTAGGGCAGCGTGTGGAAATACCAGACATAGAACTGGTAGTGCAGGGAGCGGCTGCAGCAGACACCCAGGAAGTTGGAGGAGAAGAGGATGAAGACAATCTGTGCGCTGGCATTAAGGGGACAAACGCCAGAGGCTGGAGGTGCCATCCCACAGCAGCTCTCCAGCCGTACAGCACGGCTCCTTCCCCCAGCACAGGGCCATCCTCCCAGCGCTGCAGGACCGGAGCCTGCGAATGCTGAGCCTAAGGTCCGCCCTGCCCTGCCCTGCCCTGCCCTCCCCCACTCCTTGCTGCCCACCCTGCCAAAGGATATTGTTGACAGTCAAGGGAGGGGATGCGTGTTTCCTTTCAGCAGGATCCTTCAGCAGAGCCAGGATGCTCTCTTTGGACCTGAGGGGGAGGCACAAACATCGATCTCAGCTGCTGAAAGTCTTTCCCACCCTGCCCTTCCCCTGTGAGCCACGATGCCTGGGCAGTGTGCTCCCTGAAACAGCACAGCAACTCTCCCTCACCTCCTGCCTGCATCCCCAGCACTGCACCATGGGGGCTGACGGGGACCAGCATCCATGAGGGAACCCGGGTCTCACCTGTGCCATCGGTGCAGTGCAAAGAGCCCCAGGCCAGCCAGGTGAGCCAGGAGCAGTGTGGTGTGGAAAGCCCGATTCTGGAAAACCTCTTCCGGGAGGAAGCGCCAGTTCACCGTCCATTTGAACTGGAACTGGCGGCCCAGGTCAAAGGAGCGTGTCAGGTACCCCACGGGGTTCACCAGCAGGAAGGGCAGCCCCAGAACCACCTGCCAGAGACACACCAGCACCCTCACAGCAGTCATAACTCAGGTCTCCATCACCCTTGCCACCCCCCGAGAACCCCAGCACCACGTGGGGTGACAGGGACAGTCAGCCAAAGATGGAAACCTGTGAATTAGATTATTTATCAACCTCCAGCTTGCTGTGTGAAGCCAACTCAGGTGCCGGTGCCACTGTGCATCCACCCAGAGGCCTCCAGTCCCCAGGACAGCCAAGCAGGATGCTGAGTTGCAGGCAGGGCAGCCCTGCCGATGAGGCTGCCAGCCTGCCCTCCTAGCTAATGTGAGCAAGGACCTACCTGGAGCAGGGCACAGATGCAGAGCTTGGGGATACAGCCCAGGAGACCGAACCGTTGGAGGAGAAGGAAGAGAAGCCCAGGCGCAAAAAGCAGGATGTTCATCTTCACAGACACAGCCAGGCTGAGTAGGAAGCTGCATTACTGCTGTGGCCCCCCACATGGGTGCTCAGAGAGCCCCCAGGCTGAGCGCAGCCTCCTCCCTAGGGCTGAATTCGCTCACCCATGCAGCACACCATGGAGAGCAGCCCCTGTCCTGCCCCCAGACCCTCACCTGAAGAGGAAGCAGCCCCAGGACCAGTGCTCCTCCAGGAAGAGGTTGATGGCGAGGAAGAGGATGGCCATGGCAACGGGGTCGTTAAAGAGCCGTAGGACAAAGATGGAGTGGATACGGTAGGAGGCACAGCACATGAAGAAGAAAACATATGGGGGGACCTTGCAGGGGACAGAGAGACACAAAGGCAGTCAGCAGCCTGTCCTCAACCCTGAGCTGCCGCCAACCCACTCCAAACCTCAGCCCCCAACCCCGACCTCCTGCCCAGCCCGTTTCATCTCCAGGAGGACGGAGCAGAGCAGGAGAGGCCCCGAGGCAGATGGGGAGACCCCCTGGCTCCAGGCTACCTTGTTGGTTCGGCAGTAGATGCGGAAGACGAGGAGGAGGTTGAGGAGGTAGAGGCCGGCAAAGAGGTACTGCGCCAGGCGGATGTCGGTGCCGCGGCCTGTGGCGTAGTACAGGCCCAGGAAGATGTAGACGAAGCCGGCGGGGTAGCTGTGGAGAGACGGGAGCGAGGGGCCAGGGCTGCCCCTCTGGGACCCCCTGGGAGCCCCCAGTGGCGGGGAGCTCGGCCGTCCCCATCACTCACACCAGCGGCCCGGTGTCACCCTTCAGCTGGGTGTAGTCGAGGGTCCCGTTGGCAAAGCCCTCCACCTCCTCCATGTAGGCCTTCCAGTCGATCTCCGTGTCTGCGGGGGGGGCTGCTTGCACCCCAACCCTCTTCCCTCAGACCCAGGGAAGGGAGCGGACGGGCTGGGGCGGCTCAGGAGGAAACAGGTCATTGCCAGGCTGGTAGTTAGTGAGCGGTGGGCTTGTTTTTAATGACCCCCTTCCTGCGAGGGGCTCCTGGCACTGCGGGACGGTGGGGGAG